ATGGGCTATCCTGATGTTATGATGTGGTGCATAACATTGCTGGTTATGCACGGTAGGTCGTTAGATGGGCAACTAAGTTCCGGATATTTATCAACAATCGGTTGAAAAGTTGGATCAAGTATTGCCTTTATCTTAACGATTGACAAGCTAGGGCCTATGTAGGTGATGCCTTTGATAGACAGACTAGTAGTATTGTCAATCAGTCGTTTTCGGCGGACGTCTACGAGTAAATCATGATGATTAAGTAGGTCCGTGCCGATGATGGGCATTGTGACGTCAGAAAGAAGGAAAATCCACTGAATAGTTTTGCGTAAACCTACGTTCAGATAGACGTATTTCCTACCAAAGGTTGCACCTGGTTTTCCACTTGCAGCCTGTAAGTTGAAGGTAGGTACCTTCTGTCGATCTGCTGCTGTAGCAGGAAGGACGCTGATTTCGGCATATGTGTCGACTAAATATCGAGTCTGCCTGAACACATTATCAGTGTAAGGTAGGTGGCTAGTGCCACCGGCGACGGTCGTCGCTAACGCGTGCCGGCGGGATAGTTCCCCTCAGGCTTTGAGACATTTCCAAAGTTACAAGGCTTACGGCAACATTTCGCTTCTTGGCCATAGGTGTTGTGGTGCCAGCACTAGTCAGGGTTTTTCAGAAAAAGTGGCTTGGACCTAGATCGACCACGTGAGTTTCGCCGTTGAGGGGATTTTGGACGACGGTAGGAGGAATTGCCATGCATGTTTGACCTAAGCATCTGCTGGATGGAGTTGCATAACTCTATCACTGCAGTGTCCTTACTTGAAGTCTGTTTTCAAGAACCGACTGTTTAGTTATTCCTAGAATCTTATCTGCAGAAATAGCTAAGTCCTCTATCACAGTACCCTGAAGTGTCATCAACACAGTCTGCAGTGACTGTGACTGTCAATGTAGTTGAAGATTGAACGATCAATTCATGTTTGTTTGCTCAAACCCTACTTCCCCATATTTTCGCGGAGGCATCAACACACCAGTCATCGTCTCATCGGTCGCTGTTCAGAAAGAAGACCAAAAACCGTCAGAAACCTTAGCTATTATGGTGTTCATATGTTGGTGTTAAAATAAAGAATTCTCGAGTCGCCAATCGGTGTTCTGGCTTTTGCGTCCGTTAGTACTAAGCGTTTCCGAAAGGCTTCGAGGGAAAGCCAGAGGCCCGGCGTAGCAAGAGCTGGGCATTAACGGTTTATGAGACGTGACTGACAGTGACAGTTAGTATAAGAAGGGTTCTCTGAAAAGTCCTCCATCGAACTGACCTTGGCCAATATCCCGTCTCATTCTCGTTAGCATGCTCACGGCTGACTGATCCCCAAACTCGATGTTGCGAACTAATTCGTCCAGACGCTGTCAATCCGTGAGAACATTTCTCCTGAGGAGGGATGCTTTGAGCAATCCGTACGAGTTACCTACCTCTGGACTCGACATCCGCACAGTTACGCACTTGTTGAATTCCCACGATAGGGCGTGAATAACTGCGAGAAACTGTGGACGTTGATCGGTTATCCCATTCTCACAAAAATCAGACTCAGCTATCTGAAGCCATGTTTCAGCATTATCTGGCCAGCATGTTACAAGCTGAATGGTTTTAGGAGCTGAGCGAATACGATAGATTTTGGGACTATGATCACTCATAACGAAATGTATGCCGATTACAATTATTGTTATATCCTTTAATTCCTAGTGGAACATAGAGCTTCAGCTCCACACCCCCATTGTCTTTTGTTTTCTGCTAACTTATTCACCTCGCTCCAAGTCTGCCCACGTACTTTCATCTCCTCCTCATATGACCTCCTCCAAGTCACCCTCGCACTGACGACCAACTCGCCGCTTCCCTTTCGGGTTCCACTCGAGCAATGGCTTGTCTAGTGATGTCACTTGATGGTTTCCTCATAGTATGGCCAGCCAATCCATCTCCATTTCTTCCAGCCTATTTGTTTCACAATTGGTTCCTGGTTATTCCGCTCCCAGAGATCCCTGTTGCTGATGTTTTCTGGCAGGCCATCTGATCTTGAGTATTGTCTGTCGCATTATCCAGTCTACTGCAATCAGAAAAATCACTGGGGATAATAGACATCCTTGCCTCACTCCCGTCCTCACTTCGAAGGCTTCCGTAAGTTTCCCGTTGTGGATTACTTGGCATGCAGCATTGTCGTATAACTGTTGGATGAGATGTATAGTTGTCGATGGCACCCCACAGTAGTAGCGAAGTAGTTGCCAGATAACCTCTCGACCGACGCTGCACTGTCGAAGGCCTTTTCAAAGTCGGTGAAGTTGAGATAGAGAGGTGACTGCCATTCCAAGCTTTGTGAAATGATGATTCGTAGAGTGGCGATTTGATCAATACATGATTTGTTTCTCCTGAATCCGGCCTGTTTCGGTCGAGGTTTTTCATCTAGGGCTTGTTTGATTCTCTCTGTCTATTACAATATGGTACAAGAACAAATACAAAAAGGAACCAACTCACCGGGTTTATCTGGGTATTTATCGAAGATAGAGTTCGCGGTTGGGCTCACCAGTTGAGAGGTTGACGGTATTGACGTTCGTGAATTGTACGGAGTATACGAAAACAAGATCTTATACCAACAACTTCTACAGTATTCGTTTCTCGTGGACCAAAGGCAGAGTAAGAGAACAGAATCGGTCGTCCAAATTACGAGGTATATTTCGAGACCAAATCTTAGACCAAGATGAATGCTTAGCTGGCTAGTGATCGTGCACGAACGAGACACGACGGAGTATCAAATGGCATGGATGCTTGATCGGAAGCCTTCAGCTAAACAAGTCGACTTAAACAGTGAGTGTCAGCATCGAATGTTCAGTGATGATTGCTGTGGTCAATAATTTTGGGGAATTATTAACCGCTACATGAGACTGAGGGTGTTGAAGTTTACGGATTGTAACGTAAGACCCTATACCTACAACTTCTGTAGTATTTGTTCCGTGTAGACTGAGGGCATAGCAAAATATCAGAATCGATTGCCCAAATTGCGAAGTATATTTCGGGAGCACATCGGAGTGCAAGATGATTGCTTGACTAGTTAGGAATCGTGCACGAAAGAACGAACGTAACAGGACGGTGTGCGAAATGGCGTGGATACTTGACCGTAAGACTTCAGCCAAACAAATCAACTTAAACAGTGAGGGTCAGCATCCAACATTCAGTGAAGAGTGTTGTGACTAACTTTTCTGGGAGAATTACCTACCGCCACACATGCTTTATTTGCATGTAGGTTTTCTTATTTGTCACATTAAATGGCTGGTGGAAGTGCATAAAGGTTAGACATGAAAGTTATGGGAGAAGTGTATTCAACTGTATTTTTCTGTCCGAAGTTGATTGAAATATCTGATGTAATTGAGAACTGTATGAAAAATATAATTCCTAGGGGACTTAATAGAAAAACGCCGAGTGATAAGTAGGATTTTAAAAAATAATGAGACCCTCACCTGATATTTAATTGACATGAGGTTTTAGCATCACTTGGACTTTAAACGTATCACTCAGATGAACATTCGGAGGCGAATGACCTTGGAGAAGTGATAATCGGTAGAGAAGTCTTTTACTTATTTTTTTTCAGTTAGTTCCTCATCACCGGCTCTGCACTGTTATTTAGTTTTCTGCACCCAGATTTTATACAAATCATGTTGTTATTTTTATTAGTCAGGTTGAGGTAAAGGAGGGTGAGTGAGGTTAAAAGTCATCATTAACTGAAATAACTACTTGTTAAGCAAAATATTTTATGTAAAAACTTTTTTGTTTATCAGCTTCGGTTTGTGACGATTCTGCCCACTTCAGATGATGGACGCCGAACACTCACGAATCCCAGCTGGGTTGTTGCTCAGTCAGTGAATGCACCTAGGTGCTGGGCAATGTGGGCTAAAAGGGTAATTTTGATCGTCACAGATGTGTCAAAAGAGGGTTAGAATGCTACATAATTGGTCCACTTTACCCATGTTGGCCACTTTTTTCCAGCTTACTCACAATACCCACGTTTTCACCCATGTAGCCCATATATAGAAAATAAAAAAATACCCATGGAAGGCATTATTCCATTTATCAGAACATTATCTGATGTGATATACACATAATTATAAGTGTATAGATTCCAATTTTTTTACTTATGGGTAATTAGGAAGCTGATAAGCTTTCTGCACCCGAGTGTTGTAGTCAGTTTGTGGCTGGGATATTGAGTCTCATACTCGGGAACTGAACTAGCAGTCTAGAAGTGTGTTCTTTCTTCGCAGTTAGTACTTAGGTTCGTGCATCCTGAAATGTGCTAATAGAGACTACTATTGACTAGGTCACTTTTTGGGTTGTCAATGACAATGATATATTCTTTGCAAAGACAGTTCATCGTGTATGTGTAAAAAGCGTCACAGGGTTCTTTTGTGGTTACTGAAACAGTATACAGTGGTGTGCATTGGTGCCAATCAGATTTTATGATTTTTTGAGACAGACTAAAGGATCAAGAAATATTTAACCTGTATCTAGTAAGAGTGATGCATAGAAAAGCTGGAAAAATGCTTTGGAACATGTTGAATATCCATGGTAACATTCTGTTAATACGAGAGATGGTTACGATAGGATCTTTGCAACCTCTTGCATTTAGTATGCCATTATTTTTCTTGATTTTTTGACTGATTTTTGATTATAGCTTGGAACCACCCAGTATTTGAGGTACAAGTATGGAATTTTCAGCATGTGATATTGGTAGCCCAAATTTTGCAGGCCGGCCATAGATATCAAGTGTGCGTCGGCAGGGAGTCGAACCCCAGACCATGTGGATGGTCGGCGAGAGTCATAGTAATGAAAGTTTACCATAAATACCTTCTCATAGTTATTAACATCCAAAAGCGAAGTTAAAGTATAATCATAATCCTAAGTGTGAAACTTCTTTTCTGTTTCTGAATTTCAGACACTATATTCTTCTAGATTATCCACAATTTCTCTGTTGAGTAACTTGAACCAGTGAGCGATGTTCACTACAATGGATGTATATGATGCTGCTTTATCCATTGGCCGTGAATGTCAATTGATTGTGGACGAATATGGCGACGACTTGTTACAGAATCTTATGCCAAAAATAATCTACATTTTGGAAGAATTAGAAAGCTGTACCAGTTACTGTGACAAAGAAAAGGAGGAGATCGCACGTCTTCAGAAACTTGCAGATGAGCTTCGTGAGGAACAAAAATCAGATTTATTGCTGAAAGATAAATGCGATAAGGTTAGATCATATTTAGGTCATAAATTCCCACTTCATAAACTATACTGGGTACTGTTTTCAGACTCAGTGGTCACGGGATACATCTAATGGTATAGCGTTTTGATTTTTCAGGGGAAATACAAAGCCTTTAGGAGAAACGCATTTTGTTCATAAGAGTTACTTTCATATGCTAATAACTTGATCTACAACACTTTAGTTAATATATATGTAATGATATTAACGATAAACTAGCATTTGTCTGAAATCTGTTTTAATTTTCATTGATTTTTTATTCTTTTAAATTCCCAGGGGAATTTTGGGCTTCAAGCCAGAGCTTTGGAGTTTCGGTAGGAGAGGGGTTGTTAGCCTCATGCCCAACCTTCCCTCTTTACGAGTCTTATAAGTGGGTAAGAGAGGTGAGGGAGTGCGTCAGCTGCCGGGGATCGAACTTCGAACCACCTGCGTGGTTGGCGAGCATTCTACCTCTGTGCCACTGATGCACATTTTCATTGGTGCAAGTGAAAACTATGTTGATTGGCACTGATATCCTATGAGAAGAGATGTAAGCATCTCTATTTACATTCGGTAAACGCTTTTAATTCGTAAATCTCTGGTATCTTCCCAGAGAGTGACCAGTAACTACTAAGTGTTCAAGAAGATGAATTCCCCTCAATGTCTCCCCCTCAGCTTCGGGGAATAAAGAAACATTCTTTTACTTCAGCAGGGTGGATATATCTTGAAGGTTTTTATTCGCTGTTTCAGGGGTGCGTTAGTGTATACATACCTCATTATATTCGACAGTCAGTTAATTGTGTACCTTTTAGCATAGTATCAAGCTGTTAAACGACTAACCAGAAAATGTAAGGTGACTTTTTGTGTGAATTCTGAAAATTAATTTTTGAATACAATCATATCAATAATACCCATTTTGTAGTCAGTCTGTATAAAATGATTTATTTAGTACATTATCGTATTTAGAACAACAAGTATAACTGGACATTATTGATTTCAATTGGACTTCACCAAGCTTCACTCTAATATACACACCTTTACAAATAAATATTTAATATAAACCAATCATGGTGATTTGTTGATAGGATGGTATGATTCTGCATATAAATTGTACAATTAGTCATGATAGTAGTAACTCTATCAACAACGAGGATAATGAAACATGTCATGACTGAGCTAACAAATGTTCAAATAGACGTAGTAGATAAAGGCCGAGAAAGACAAATAATTGCATTAGGTAATGTTAGATTGAAAGAGAAATGAATAAACTATGTTTTAATGAAGGTGCAATAAGACTGAGGGTTGATAATAAAGAGATTAAAAATTACATATAAGGAGTGATGATGTGTTAAATGTGTCAAGAGATTACTGAAAGGCGAATTTACTTGGAAATGCTCATGTCAAGCCACAATGAACTACTCCTTAAATGTACACCCTGTGTTCAACAATTCGTACTATCGCTAAGAGTTCACAAATGGGTCCAATATTATCCAAGTTCTCCCTTGCAAAACCTGAAAATGGGCTATTGAATGATATCATCGATGAGTAGGATACGTATTGCTGTTATGTTGATGATACACTTAGTTAGTGAGAATGTATATATAAATGAATTGTCAGTGAAATCTAGCGACATCCACCTTTGACTCACTTTCACTTGTGGAGAAGAGCAGGATAACACTGCATTTTCTGAATGTCTCGGCAAGTGAGATGTGTTACTTCGGTAAAGAGTGCATGGGAAGAGGACATTCATATAGCAATTAACGACCTTCCTTAGTTATGTGCCCATTAAATATAACAGAAATATTATTAAGTGTCACAAGAAAGATATGTAAGGAAGATCATTGGCACTGTAACTTAGTAAATATTGATTCCTTAGGCATCATTGACTCTGATTTCCTACCCAATTTGGTCATGTCTCCTTAAAAAACTACTCGGGAAACCCATCTCCATCAAACAATCATGAATAGATTTGAATTCACTTTGTAAATGAGGCGATCGTAATTCGAATTATCAGAAGCAACTGATTATACCACCACCCTATATGTATATATCTTATCAACTCTTAATGTTATTGCACTTTCATTAAAACATAGTTTATTCATTTCTCTTTCAATCTAACATTACCTAATGCAATTATTTGTCTTTCTCGGCCTTTATCTACTACGTCTATTTGAACATTTGTTAGCTCAGTCATGACATGTTTCATTATCCTCGTTGTTGATAGAGTTACTACTATCATGACTAATTGTACAATTTATATGCAGAATCATACCATCCTATCAACAAATCACCATGATTGGTTTATATTAAATATTTATTTGTAAAGGTGTGTATATTAGAGTGAAGCTTGGTGAAGTTCAATTGAAATCAATAGTGTCGACTTACATTTATTGTTCTAAATCTCCCAATGGAAATTTGTGATATTTTAACATCATACTGTATTTATTTCTGTTCCTCGCAAAGTGACTGAATATTAGTTTAGCGAGTGACTAAACACGTCTAGTGGGCTGAAATCGACTGGTCCCCACTGATGCTCATCAAAAGTGCATTAATACTGTTTAGTTTTTCACTGTGACTTACAAATCATGAAGCTTTTTGGAGGCTTCCGCCAGCCCATGTCGTTAAGACAGTAATCTTGAATAAAAACAGATCACTTGGTTAGTCTACTTGCCCCATATGTTTTTACGAGTTTCAGAAATTAAAACTACATACTACTTTGGTGTTATTAACTGAATAAAAACACATTTTCATTTGGGTATAGAAAGGAAATTTGCATAGATGGATATTTGTTGGAATTTTAGTCACTTTTCTAGTTTTCATATTAGTTTGATTATTAAATGTATCACACAGTGAAACAGTATTGTATACTGGATGACGTTTCGAACACAATTTATTGTTCATAATCATATCAATTATCATAATCATATCAATCTAGTTTCTTATTCTATTATGTAGAGTTTAGAACAACTTGAACAAAGCTGGTATTGTGAAAGTCAAAAGTTATTAGACACAATATCTCAATTAGAAGAAGAAAATGTTCGTTTAACGCATCAGTTAATTTCATCGTGTGATAAAGAAGTTAGAGGAAAGGAGAAACACGCAGAAACAGAAGAAATGGAAGAAGAAGAAAAGTCCAAGATTTTGAATAAATGTTTAAGATGCTGTGATCCTGATGAATGCAATTCATCACACCCAAAAGTAGGCGCTTTTTTATTAGCCAAAGCAAAATTGGCTCCTGAAGGGGGTGGTGTTCCAACTTCATATGATTTTGATAAATTCCACACTCAGCTGAAAAATAAGTCAACTGAAGCAGAAGAAGAAGAAATATCTAATATGATGTCTAGCTTATTGTTAGAAACTGAAGAAAGGATACAATTAACAGATAAAGAGAGTAGGTTTAATCGGTTAATAAGTCATAGGTGACCTGAGATATTTCTGTTTTTATTTATGTATTTATACTGATCACTTGTTTTGTTTTGTTTAACTTGAATAGATGGTTATACATTTTTGATTAGTTGCTAAACTAAATCTTTCTAAAGTGTTGTTATTTAACGCATCGATTATGTATAAGATAAAGCAATAAGAAGACGTAATTTGTCTGAATCGTGTAATATATTTGCGCAACACATTTCGAACAATCTGACCACACACGGACTTGTCATAGGAATATATATGAAATTAATAAAGAGGTAAGAGGTGAGAAAATAGACAAGTTAGGTCAAGTCAAAAGGACATATTAAAGGTTAAAATAAAAATGAAGATCACTAAACCAAATAAGAGACGTAACAGTACATCTAACCTGGTATCAAAGTTTACCAAAGAAGGTTTAATGTGATGACAAATTGTTTTTGAACGCATAAAGGTGGCTTGAACTTTCTAATTGCTAGGGCTTCCACAAACTTTAGGATACGCCCCGAACACGTTTTATAAATAGGTTTAAAATATATGTTAACGTCAATTTTATGTCCTGTCTGTATAATATGTTTTGCAATAGAAGAGCTAGGTCTCCTGTTCTCACCATTAATGGGTTCTGAAGATTCCATTTGTTTTTGGAGCCATTTACGAATATGCTCTGAAGCCAGCCCTTACTGGCAGAGATCAATGAGTCTTCCCTATGTATGTGTGTCCACACGTACATTCAAATTGGTAGATACAGTGGGATGTGACATCATTTTTCGCATGCTCGAAGGGCTTAGATAAACATATTGGCTTTAAATTCTTTATTATTATGATATTAGCTGCATAAAAAGTCTTTTTAATAGCAGCGTTCAATCTTTGCCTAGTTATCAAGCTGCTATGATACCCCATATAGGGTAGCTTGATGTACACGTCTTTCTTAGTGGTGAGTTGTAGAATGGGTCTTGGTGTTCTGACTACTTCATATCTCCTGATGAACTTGTCTGGATAATTGTTATCAACCGGAGTTTGTGTCAACTTTCTTTCTTCTTCATCAAGTGTGTCTTCAGGGCATACTCGTCGGATTCAACTGAAGAGGCACTTTACTAAGGCTCTTTTGTACTGAACAGGGCAGAAACTGTGGTAATTAAGATACTGTCCTGTCCAGGTAGGTCTTCTATAAATGGATTTTCTTGTTGACCTATCAAGCTGTCGATCAAGCAATATGTCTAGGAAAGATAAACATTTATATTCCTCTTCTACAGATGTAAGTGATATGCTATTCTGAACTTCATTCATTCGGTTGAAAATTGAGGCGGCAGAACAAGACTTATCACTAATGATTACAACATCATCTGCATACCTTTTATAAAGTGACACATTTTCGATTAAATCCTCCGATAAATTCCCAATGTACGACATATAAATATCTGCTAAAAGCCGCCCTGACGGACTTCCGATAGCAACACCATCCACTTGGCGGAAACAATCGCTTTCAAATGTAAACCTAATATTGTTAGTACATAGCAGTAATAAATCCCTTAAATAAGATAGAGGGAACAGGATGAAAAAATTTTTTGTGAAAATGTAATCACATAAAATGTCAACTGTTTTGAGCAAAGGCACATTATTAAATAACGAGTTTACATCAAAAGAGTACATATTCTTATTCATAATATTAATATCGTCAAGAAAATCAACCAATTCAAATGTATCTTTTAACACATACTTACAGAAATGTATTTTGATTGGATGCAATAATTCTACTAACCATTTAGCAAGTTTATGCGTTGGGGATTTGCACATTGACAATATAGTACGTAGAGAATTATTGGGTTTATGTATTTTTTGGTAAACTATACATATGCGGGAATTTACATTCTGATGGTCCTTATTTATAGCATTTAGATTATTTTTTTTTTTTTTTATTTTTTTTTTTTTTTTTGATTTATGTATAAGTTGTGCTAAAGAATGTGGAAATTCTTTGCTGATTGCAGTCAATCAACAATTATTAGTAATTGTAGTTAAGATAACTTGGTTATTACCAATCAAATCCAAATTAACTCATCAAGGTATAAGGAAAAATACCTTGACTCCATGAAATCATTTATATATGTATCTAACTATGAGACATTGTCAATGAATTCTGAAGACATAATGGATACAGATTTTTAATTGTAGGTCTTCATTTAGGACCACTCGTACGTTTTGATTCTATAGAATCAGTAATACTGAAGGCTAAACGCGGAATTAAGAAAGAAAGTCAAGTTAAATTATAAAGCTGTGAATGTCGATTCACTAATTTGACTGGTACGTGTGCTGAGCGTGTTGTGTCACCACCTTCGATGAAGTATTTGAACTAGTATGAGATTGAGTTGGTAAAGATTTTAATGGCTAGTCAAGTAAGAATATGGCATGAATTCACAAAGTCAACATACCCGTAAAAACGTTTAAGGTAGCTAACTGAAAACCTTAGCGACTGGACTGTCTTGGCAACATCGTCAAAAATCGTTCACAATGTCACTCTGTTGCTCCTAAATTTCTGAACATTTCGCTATTTATTTATTATTTATTTTATTTAAACGCATAAAGACTTGGTGCCATATGCACCAAGAAGGATGCGCCACACAATAATGATAAAACAAAAAAGATCAAAAGAAAGAAAGAAGATATATATATATATATATGTATAAGTAGAGAACGGATAAAGAATTTCATCTAGAAGGAAAACAGTCATGATTAACAAGTTCAAACAGTATTCGTTAACTATCATCGGGAAGGGAAGAAAGAAGGAAATTGCAACACGTGTTATAGCACGCAATAAGTTTCATTGATTGTTTGTTGCTTCATTCAATTCATTGTGTGAGGGCTGAGATACTGCCCGGGCGCGCAAACCTGCCGAGCCTTTGACTTGTAGTCTAATCCGCAAGGCAGCGGAGCAGTGTCAGGAGCTGCATTCCCATGGTTGACGGTGATCCATATGGGTTCATACGCCATTTGATCCGATTGGATACTGGAGCCCATGCACCCTATGTTAACTGCTTTTAGTTTAACCGCTATCCAAACAACTTTCCTGACATGGTAGGACCTGCAGGGACAGAGTCCCAGTCAGTTTAGCATGTTGGGTCATTACGGTATTCAAGCCCGACCACGACGACAAGGTAGCAGTTATCGGCCGGGGAACATTTCGCTAGTTATCCGTTTATTTTGTTTCTTCTCATATCCATGTTTCTCTGTCGTATTTCACCGCTTATGTCTCTTTTTATGTTAACTTTTCGAAAGTATTCCATATTCCTGCATGCAATCTCTATCTGTCTATCTCTCCGTTTTGAATATGAATGCACTGTATTGACCATAGTAACGAGTTAATTCTTTTTCCTTCCTGTTTTTTTATTTTGAAAAAATTTCCATTTGGCAACATGATTGACTTCCTTCAATTGCATAGATCGTGCTGCTGATCTTCAGTTAATTCAACAATTGAAAGAATGCGTAGCAATTAATTACAAGTCAGCTCGAAAACTTCGTCGTGAATTAGCCGAAGTGAGCGCCTCATTAGATGCTGTAAGTGAAATTTTTTTTATGTGTGACATCCTTAACTGTGCAACTGATTATTTAATTCAATTCTATTACTTGTTACCTTAAGGCGGTGGTATCGTGTTGCATACGGTTTCGAAACGTCCGTGGGGATCTTGTTATTGTTGATATCATCAGCTTTGAGGTAGAATAATACATGTATGCATGACTATTCTGCAAGCACTGGATTTTATAAAGCTGCTTAAAGATCCCTGTCTTATGAACCAAATGTTATTGTATTCGAGTTAACTCATAACCTTTTTAGCCTCAGTAAACTTTTATCGGTTTTATTGCATTGTTTTAGTGTAATGCACTGTAGAATTTTAACTCATGTTTTGTTCAACAAGGTTTGACCTTACTGACTTTCAGATCAATACGACAGAGAAAGCCGTGTATTCATTTGGTTTGGTATTCACTTAACCAGATGAGTTGTTCTGTACAATGGTAATGTATTTCGACTGACACGTAATTTCTGCTTCTCATGGTGTTCAAATAAGTCGATAATTTCGAATTTGGCACAAATCTCTCGTATATGCTTTAAAAGATAAATGAGATAACGTTTCCGCAAAGTACGATGTATACCAACGACGCAAGTCCTTATACTCATATATTAGCCCACTATCATATAGGTGGCCTGCTTAAATTCCTTGGCTGGCTGAATTTCTATCCGATACAGCGCATCTTATTTTCTCTAATTTGTGTTGTTGTGATCATTTAGTTGTGTCTGTGGGTTACAAAATGTACTCATACACACTCTTAATAGGCTTTCAACCTACTGATGAGCCTTTCTCGAACGCTAAACAAAAATTTAATAAGGGACTAATGTATGCTCCAGATCGAACAGCATTGTGTCACATAATGCAGTGGAGATGCCTATATTACCTGAAAATCCTGGATGAAGAGAAAGTTTTGTGTAATAAACCACACTGAAGATTGTGTTGATTGTGTAAAATTATTGTGCGTTATAAAGCTATTATTATTATTATTATTATTATTATTGGTATTATTATTTGTTCTCCGTAGACCAAAGGCAAATCAAAACAACAAATCGATCGCCCGAAATACGAAATAAATTTCGGGATCAAAATCGTAGTGCGATGTTAAATGCTTAACTAGCTAGAGATAGTGCAGAAACGAGCAGACTAACGTAACACAACGATGTGCCAAATAGCATGGATTCTTGATCATGAGCCTTGAGTTGAACGAGCCGACTGAAACAGTGATTGTCAGCATCCAATATTGATTGATGAGTGCTGTAGGCTAATAATTTTTAGGGGGTTATTTACCGCTACAGTACCAAAGTTCCATTCTTAACTGATGAGTTACGTGTTTTTCCCTGTTTAATTTTGTAGTAATAACAAAGGCGAAGCTTACCTAAAGTCTCGCTGTCATCAGTAGTATAGTTCCTGCGAACACATGCAGTTTAACAACAAGCTGATTTCATACAATAATTGATTATGTTTTAAGAAGTGATACTGTGGTGGTGTGAAACAGACAATATGTTCCAACGGAATATTATTCTCACATTATTCCCAAAGTTCAATACTGCGTTAGCAACATAATACTATGTGCATTTGAACATTCTATTTCATGTCGTTTAATGTAAGCCAAAATCATACGCTCAATGATTGGTTAGGGAATATAAAACTACATATATGTATATATACAAAGAGCGGTTTGATCACTTGAAGATATACCTCGGCTTCTGTGTCTTACCTTCTCTTGTTACTACATGAACACCAGAAGACATGGTGGTATCTGGTGAGAGCTGTCTGCAAGACAAAATTGTAGACAACAACTGATGTCAATGTTGACGTCTCGAATTGGGGTCATGAGAAGAAACAAGAACAAGGCCTAAACTTAAGGAACTCCACAACCATACAGAGCAGACTTAGCGTGTGCAAATATGATTCGCAGACATGGATAATTTTGAAAGCAACGGTTACAAGCAGTACAGAATAACCTTCAGCAAGAGCAACCAATCAGAAAACGTTGCTTCTGTACTAACAATAGCGCTAATAATAATAGTATACATAAAAATCTCTAAATATGTGTTGATTTTCTCAATAAGCAATCTGTTTCCGGGCTCTTGTCTTCTGTTCTTACAGGTATACTAAAGTTACCGCATTATATTTTTGTATTATAAACCTTGTGTTAACAAATATACAAACAAGAGAGAGAGAGAGCTCACAGATTCGGTTACATGACATTCTTAATGTAGAGTTTTCCAGAATAAATAAATAAATAAATTCGCTCGAATGTAGGTGCTAAGATGTTTCGATCACCTTTCTTTTCACTCATTGTTGTAATTAGGCACTAAAAAGAAAACTGGGGTATATATTATACGCCTGTTGGTTGGTATACATTAAGAAAAGAAACACTTTCTTGTAAATGGAATGGTGAACACTAGTTTTTTAAATACACACCTTATTATCAAGCATCAATATCCATCAAAGCACGAAGTACTTAATGTTTTATTACTATTATTATCAGATATGTTCTTCTTTTTCATGGTTCCTACTATAAAAAAGTTATCAGTGGAAGATATTCTAAATTAATTGTTGAATGTAATCCCTAGTAGATGAAAACACACCGTACATTTTCCTTTTTTAACAATTGTTTTAGTCAGAAGAAGAAGTTTGCCGGTTAGCTCGTCAAAGTGGTCATTTGATGGCATCTCGCGCTCCGCACAGACGTCAAACTGGTCAACTTGTGTCTGAGAAAGCTACACTTGAAGCACAATTATGCCTAAAAGAAAGAGAATTGGCTAATTTGCTTGGGAAACTGTCATCTGATGATGTTGCACGTGTTCATGGTTGTGGAGCAGGGGTAAATGAACTATGATTTGATAATTGATATTATTTTCATCATTTTCAATTGGTTTGTGATATGATTGTGGAAAGAAATCATCCAGATTAGGGAACACAAGCACGTAAAAATTTACATTATTTTCATCATTATTCATCTCCATATCTTAGATATTTATATATGTACTGATAGAGCGCAGTTATGTTGTATGCAATTACTTTAGGTTTTTACTACCCATAAGGTTCCTTTTTAAAGGGTGAATTCGTTAGCCGAACAACCAACCTTAACTCTTTTTTCGGAACCATCTACTGACATCACGCTCCAGGCCATCAAATGCAGAGCAACGATTCTTCTGTCCAAGGGTGATAGGAGGGAAAATAAAGGCTTATGGAGAACTGTGGAGCCAGAAAATAGAGTAAAATGAAGATATACTCCTGAAGCTGTATATGCAACCTGGAAACCGTAGAACCATATCATATTGATAATCCTGTACGGCTTTATGTGTTGTTAGATTTGGTTCTTGTAGTATTGTTGTATGCGATCATCAAAATTAACCCATTCGTGTTTTTTTGTTTTTTTATTCTCTTACGTTCCCAGTGGAACATGGGGCTTCAAGCTAGAGACTTAAAGTTTCCGTAGCATTGATGTCTATTTTTACGGGATGGCCTCATGCCGAACCTCCCCTCTTTCCCAGTCTTATTACTGGCTTAGAGAGGTGAAGGTGTGCGTTGGAGGCCGGGGATCGAACCCCGGAACACATCGGTGGTTGGCGAGCATTCTACCGCCGTGCCACCGACGTGCTTAATTTTAAACCTGAATCTTTTTCATTATAGCATTTAGAGTTTCCCGGTAATCGATTTTTACAGTCTTACTAATCAGGTTATGGTGAAGCCTCAACTACTTTCCCTATTTCTTCAGGATCTTTTAAAATGATCTTCGCGTTACTCTGCGATAATTGTCAAAAGTGTAGCGTTGTAGAGAATGCTTTTTTATTTGTATATATTATTGTTTGGTTCTCCATTGGGTTGTTACACGATTAATGATTGGTTTTGCTTTGAAAGATAATCAGTAATTGAAGACAATATCAGGTGATTACAAATGTTGTTTGGAAATGCTACGGCAGGCATAAGGAATACATTTAGCTTACCTGAAGGACAATGAAATTTTCAGTCATACAAAATGAACAAACAAACTGAGTTTCAGCGTCAAACTTTGCAAACAGAAGTACAGTACTTCACGTTGCTACACTCTGTATAGCACTTAAATGTTGAGGAAAGAAAGAAAAGGAGATTCAAAGTAACAGTAACAAGTAGAAATGTGTGCGAGAAAGAATAGTAACATGGAGGAACATGGGGATTTAATAGATTAGGCAGACTGTAAAGAGTGAAGGAATGCATCTGCACCATTAAGAACGATTTTGAGCTATATCACCGATACTCTCCACCCACTGGTTCTTTTCATTTTAAGGGAACCAACCAACCAGGCACTCTAAATCTTCCTACATGGCTGACTCAAACCAATAATCAAAGACTTCATGTATTGACACCGAATTTCGAGATGAACTAAACAAGATTATTTCATTCTGAATCAACGTGGTTGGTTCACGATATCTTCAGTTTGAACAATCATCGTAAAAGCTAAATTCTCTTCAGTTGTGTCAACAACAATGTTATTTGATTGATTGTGACTAGCAGCGAAATCCAAGACGCGCATTTTATCTTATTTACGCTTCGTCATCTGGATGTACCTGCAGTCCTCAGTGATGAACCATGTACTCACTGATACTCGAAGCATTTGTTTCAAACTCCAAAGTGTTATTCACTAGGCCATTTGGGCCATGAGAGCCATCTATTGGGCAACAGGGATACAGTTATCACTTTGTTTAAGTCAATTTTTGTTTTTCCAGTCGACTAATTGAACTGAAATGTTAGACTTCTGATATGTAGTCACATGATGTCACTTATTTCTGTGCAACTACCTACTACACCGTGTCCACCAGCAGACCATCCTTGGTCCCAAATTCATATTGATCTTGCTGGTCCTATGAATGAGGCATATTATCCAGTGTTGGTAGATGATTTTTCGAAATGGCCAAAAGTTTTACCTATCGTTTCGCCGACAGTGTCCCAGACTGTCAAAGCTGTCACTGACATATTCTCCCATCATGGTGTCCCAGAAACCATAGTTACAGACAATGGTTGGCAGTTTACTTCTGGTCAATTTCAACAGTTCTATTGTCGAAATTCTACAAACAAATGTTCACACCGCCGTATCATCCTCAGCCAAACGGTCAGGAGGAACGTTTCGTCGACAATTTGAAGAAAGCATTACTCAAAGCAGGGAGAGGGGACACCATTTGACATCATCCGAAAATTCTTGATGGTGTACCGTACAACAGCGAATGAGTCAACACAGAACAAGAAATCGCCGGCATGCGAACTTAAAACGATTCACAACTCCATGTTACCACCGGCACCGAAACGAGCTGACGCATCAATTCAAAACGAAAAAAAATTTGATGTTGGTGACACTGTTTATGTCCGCGACTATTGAGCAGGACATAAAGCTTGGAATAAAGGTTCCATCGCAGCATGACGTGGTCGAGTTATATACGACGTGAAAGTCGGTAGTGATTTATGCACTCGTCGCTACAATCAGTTGCGTCCAAGAAGCTCAAATATCCCTACCAGTACAAAGTCATCTCTACCTCTGGATATACTCTTAGATAACTTTAATTTACCCACAACCGACAAGACAGAAAAGCAGACATCATGTGACTACATATCAACTTCTTTTTCTGTTGACATGTTGCCTACGAGTTCTTGAACTTACTTAGGGGACTATTTTTACAATACATAATATGATGAATAAAGGTTGTTGTACTTCAATGTTTAAACAATAATTTTCGTATATTTTTCCCTTAGTATAAATTTTTAGGCAATTGTCATCTTTTTTTGTCATTATGTGTTGTTTTGTTGTATTCACTTGTAATTTACTTACAATATAGCCTGATGCTTGTGAATCAGTGGTACATTTATCAGTTGGACAAGGATTAGAATCTTACCCCCATGTTTATACATCAACTAAAATGGAAGGTGAATCAAGTAATGAAAATATCTCTTTAGAAGAATTACGCTATCTACTGCATGAAAGAAATGAACTAAAATGTAGATTAATTGAACTGGAAGAAGAATTAAAAGTATTAGAGTTCGAGAAGTATGTTATTCCTTTGTTTAAATTTTTCTTCTTTTTCTTGATTCCTTTTTTGTCCTCAGTGGAAGCTGTGAAAGCTTTGGTTATTAAGTTTTATTAACGGGGGTGGGGTGGGGTGAACCTCGCCTAGATTACTAGGTCGCTAGTTTTCTAGCCGGTCACAAGCCCGGATAAAGAGTGAGGTTTGGGGCGTGATGCTAGCAACTCCACCTCTGTAAAAACAACCAAATCGCTACAGAAACGTCAACGCGCGTCAGGCCCTCGAGTGGAACCCGAAAGGGAAGCGGCGAGTGGGACGTCAGTGCAAGGGTGACATGGAGGAGATTGTGTGAACAGGAGTTGAAACAGTATGGACTAACATGGATGCATGTGAAAAGTACAGCAGAAGACAGAAGCAAATGGAGACGTGCAGTTGAAGCCCTATGTTCCACTGGGAACCCAAGGGAACAATAATAATAATAACGGAGGGGGGATTTTTACGAGATAGGGTTGCTAGCTTTATGTCCGACCTTCTCTCCTTACCTACCGAGCTTATTACTGACTTGGCAAAGTTCAAGAGTGTGTTGGTTCGGAATCATATTCGTGATATGCGGTTAGTTCTACCAATGAATCATCAACGCACTATATCTTTCTTAACAATGAATACTGTTTGTTATTGAGGAAGTAAAATCTCCCTACTGTTCTTGTGTATTTATGTCTTTTTTTTATCAAGATCTCTGGGTTAAGGTAGACAACAATCAGTTATTAGATCATAATTTTCTAGTATTGGTTTTGTAGGGATTTAATTTGATTGGATTGAGGATTTCATCGTGAGCTGACATCACTTAAAGAACCACTGGAAAACCTGGGAGTACTGGACAGTTGTTTCATCTTAGTTTGGGACTATTCACTAGTACACATCTACCAGGGTTCGAACCCAGGACCTTCTGGTTACAAGGCGAGCTCGTAGACCATTGAGCCACTGTGACCCGATCCAATGGCCAGCCTATGAATTCTAACTTCTGTCAATTCACGATTATAAGTTAGAGACTACGGAATCTTTTATTCAGATAACCTCTTTAGTGATGCTAATTCAGCAGATCATTATATTATGATCCGAATAATCTTGATTTCCTAAAGAAACTTTGGTGATGAAATAGTCACCTGAAACTGTGTAAATGCAGAATTAATTTACAAAACTGTACATGAACTAACTTGAAAATCGCGGATTTGATTATTATTAATTCTTTTCGAAGTACATGCATACTTGCGTAGTCCAGGTTTGCGCATTAATCTTTTATTAAGTCAGTCAATGCGGTTATAAACCTGCATCGATTAAGATGGCTAAGACACGGGTCGCACATGCTGAGTCATTATCTTCCTCGATAAGCAATGCTAGCTGACATACAGTTGAGTTGGAAAAGAGTTAGGTGTAGTCAAACTAAAGTCTGGCATCAATCCATCAAGTCTTTTACAGTGAGTTTGAACCAGACACTTAAGGAGGTGTGGACTACCTGATTGGAGTCCTTGAAACACTGAGAACCAATTACTGGGGACATAAACTTTGAAGTAAGGTTCAAACCTGCTAGAGTCCTCGAAAATATTCAGGGCTTATGGCAGAAATTATTATGTGACATTATTGACATATAAGTGAAATGAAAAATCACTTTCAGCTCCGCTTCAGTCTATTTAAACTGTTTGATCACATTATTATTACTATTATTATTATTATTATTGTGGTGCCTGAATTTTATATATACTTCACCCAATGTTTTGTATCTCACAACAGACGAACTTTGTCACTCAGTCAACTGGTGTCACATTGAAATAAACATGGAGACGCGACTCATTGACTTAAGAGCCTAATCTTTAGCTTACCGTCCACGTGTTCGAGTCTCACTTCACTAGTTGGATAGCACTACCAGTTCTCAAAAGATAAGTGCCTGCTCTTAGCTTTGTACACGAAACACCTCTTCAGAATGATTGCGTTCAAACATATCAATTTACAGTTGAGCATTTTAAAGGCTCCATTGTATAAGATGACAGTTAATCATGTAGTCATAACTTGATTGCTAAATATAATTGTGATTTACTCTAAAGATAACAGATAATGATATAAATTAGAACACATTTAATATTAGTAGACAAAAGACAAGTAGTTCAGCGAAGAGTCTCTTTTCAGCGAATTCATTTTCATAGCTGTACAATCGCAAATATATATAGTTATTTTGTGTGTATGTGTGTATACATTAAATTTGTCAAACGAAAATACAATTTAAGTGTTGGTTTGTAGGGATTTGATTGGTTTCAGGATTTCATCATTAATCGATTCCCGGTGGATGTGTGCTGCTGAAGAGTCCCAAACTAGGACGAAACAGCTGTCCAGTACTCCCAGGTTTTCCAATGGTTCTCTAACTAATGTCAGCTCATGATGAAATCCTGAAACCAATCAAATCCCTACAAACCAACACTTAAATACCAATGAGATGCTCACTGGCGACTGGCCCTATTCAGGTAGGTTGTTACCTGGGTTCCAGTGGGATGTTGTGACCAGTAGGGTGCAGCTGGTCGGGTGTGAGGACAAATACTCGCCGAAGACATTGGCTAGCGGTCGTGCTATGTCGTGAATTGGCAGAAGTTAGAATTCAAGGACCATTGGATCGGCTCCCAGTGGCTTAATGGTAAACGAGCTCACCTTGTAACCGGAAGGTCCTGGGTTCGAATCCCGGTGGGTGCGTACTTTGAAGAGTCCCAAACTAGGACGAAACAGTTGTCCAGTACTCCCAGGTTTTTCAATGGTTCCCTAACTAATGTCAGCTCATGATGAAATCCTGAAAATACAATTAGTACGTTCAGATGAATTGTATGTTCTTATAAGAGGATAGTAACAAAAGTGATGAGTTGTCATAAATGATTGTTAAATAAGAGTTACGTAATGGCATGAATAGTTTGATGAATGAGTTGTGCTCAGAGTGTACATGGAAACAAAATAATATACAGAATTACACAAGGGTTTTAAGTTAGAAAAAAATAAGCATACAAACAGAAGTAAGGTCAAATCAATCAAACAAACAAAAGTTAGGTCAAATCAACGGAGTTGTTACCATGCGAGCAGAAGTGGTTGGATAATTTTCTTTTGTATGCATAGTTCTGGTTCCTCCAACTGGATGGCTAGGGCTTCTGCGATGCAAAGAAGACGGAATCGTACTGTCTTTGGAAGGTTGTTCTTCACTTTGTAGATTACTTTGAAGGAGGCGTTCGTTAAGATGGAATGACCAGTATTGACGAGATGTTCGATTATTGCACTCCTTATATGGCCATTATTTCGTTTCTGTAGCCACGCTGGATAGTGTTCTTTGACCCTTTTAGACAGGATGCGCGTTGAACGACCGATGTACCTGGCTCCACAGCAACAGGTGGACTGATATATACACATAGAAGTGGTCATGTGCGGAATCTTGTCCTTTGGGTTTCTGCAGATCATCGGGCGACTGGAGAACACTATTCTTAATGTTGCCGCAGGGAAATAAATAAAAAGAAAAAATAAATTTAATATTCTAGTTTACAAATAAAACAAAAATTTGGTGAGGACTGCTGCAAGGCCACCTTGAATTGACATCTGTAAACACTGTTGTTCTTTAGCTAACGTACTACTTAGCAAACAAAAACTAGTGTGTGCTGTAAATCGGGTGTTCTTACAGGTTTTTAAAGTAATTTCATTTAATTTCAGATTTTCCCATCGATTGAGTGGACCGAAGTGCTCGGTCTCAGGTTGACATGTCGGCTTCTTGTGCAGATGCTTCGACGATGTCTAGGCATGTAATTAGAATTTAATTGGTGGATGGTGACTAACAGTGAAATCAATGATGCGCATTTCACCTCATTTGGGACTCGTCATCTGGATGTACCTGCATTTCCCATTGAGTGATGATGTTCCCACCGAGGCTTGAATCCAGTGGCCATAGTTTCAAATGCCAAAGCGTTATCCACTAGACCACTTGGGCCATGAGAGACATCTCTCGTGCACGGTTCATATTAATTATTTAATTTAATTTTAGACTTCCCCGTAGGTTGATTGGACCGAAGTGCTCAGTCTCAGGTTGACATGTCGGCCCAATTAATCGACGGGAAAATCTGAAATTCAATTAAATAATTAATATGACCCGTTGCACAAGAGGTGGCTCTCATGGCCCAAGTGGTCTAGTGGATAACGCTTTGGCGCTTGAAACTATGGGCACTGGGTTTGAGCCTCGGTGGGTACACCAACACTGACTGTGGAATGCAGGTACATCCAGCCGGTGTACGAGTCCCAAATAGGACGAAATGCACATTCTCCTGGACTCGACTGCTAGTCACCATCCACCAATTAAATTTGCAAAGTAATGTTTACATTAATTTTCCCCACAACAGAATTCATTTTGAAGCGATTTTATAGTATGTATTCGTCTATTAATAGATTGTTGGACAATGTGCAATTAAAGACATAACAATATACAGATGGAAAATTCAAAGCTTTTGTTACATATATGTGAAAATTGTTTGTCTACCTTATTATTATTGCTCCCTTGGGTTCCTAGTGGAACATAGGGCTTCAACTTCACGTCTCCACTTGCCTCTATCTTCTGCTGTACTTTTCGCCTGCATCCATGATAGTCCATACTCTTTCAACTCCTCTTCACTTCACAAGATCTACTACATGTCACCCTTCCACTGACATCCCACTCGCCGCTTCCCATTCGGCCTAGTTCCAATCGAGCAATGGCCTGACGCGCACGCGATGTCACCCAGCGGCCTCCTCAGCGAGCGAGTGTCCAGTCCATCCCCACTTTCTACTGCATATTTCTTGGTTGGCGATGGGTTCTTGTTTTGTTTGTTCGTTCCCAGCCATAGTTTCTTGTTGGTGATTCTTTCCGGCCCGGCCATTTGATCTTCAGTATAGATCCAGCGAAGACAGTTGTTGGTTGATAAAGGTCTGCAATAGCCTGTTTGAAATATTTTTGTGACCCACCCGCCAAGTTTCTGATCCGTATAGAAGAACTGACTTTACGTTTGTATTGAAAATCCGAATTTTGTTGGTGATGCTGAGTGACGAAGATTTCCAGATTGATTTCAGGCTGATGAATGTGTTTCTCGCCTTCCCGATTCTCGCTCGATTTGACATCCTCGTCCGTTCCGACTGCCTGTAGTTGAGACAATGCTCCCTAGATAAGTGAATGAAGTAACCTCTTTCAAATCCCTCCCGTTGATGGTGATTGACGTTGGATGTTGCTGCTGTTGTTGTTGTTGTTGGTTGGTTATTTTCATAACCTCCGTCTTGTCTATGTTTACCTGGAGTCCTGTCTTTGCTGCTTCTTCGACCAGTTTGTCGGTTTTCGCTTGTAAGTCTTCGATTGTGTGTGACATCAAACATAAATCATCCACGCGCAAATCCAGGTCTTCTAGGTTCTTCACGTCGGTCCAGGATATTCCTGTCTTCTCGTTTCCCACTGTCTGACGCATAATCCAGTCAGTCCACCACAATTAGGAATATCATTGGTGATAGTAAGCACCCTTGTCTGACTCCTGTGTTTACTCCAAACGCCTCGCTGAGTTTTCCGTTGTGGATCACTTGACATGTTCCGTTGTCGTACAGCTGTTGAATAAGGTTGATGAATATTTGGGGTACGCCATAGTACTCGAGTAATTTCCAAATTACTTCACGGTCAACGCTGTCGAAGGCCTTCTCAAAGTCTATAAAGTTGAGGTAGAGGTTTGATTGCCATTCCATGCTTTGTTCGATGATGATGCGTAGAGTTGCAATTTGGTCAGTACATGATTTGCCTTTCCTGAATCCAGCTTGTTCTGGTCGGAGTTCTGTCTCCAGTGCGTCCTTTAATCTCTCCAGGATGATGCGACTCAGGATTTTACTTGGCGTCGACAGGAGCATGATTCCTCGCCAGTTCTTGCAGAGTCCTAAGTCGCCCTTCTTTGGTAGTTTCACGAGGTAACCTTTCCTCCAGTCAGTAGGCACCTTTCCCTCCTTCCAGACCTTTTGCAATAATGGAGTCAGCATGTCTGCTGTCGTCTCTGGGTCTGCTTTCAGTGCTTCAGGGGGTATTCCATCTGGTCCGGCTGTTTTTCCAGCTTTCAGAAGTTTGATTGCGTTCAAGACTTCAGCTCTCGTTGGAGGATTGGTGTCAACTTGCAGTTGTGTGCGCGCTGTTGTTGGTATTTCTGGACGGGTTGCAGGTGATGGTCGGTTCAAGAGTCCTTTGAAGTGATCCGCCCATTGTTTAATCTGTTTTTCTTCCTTGGTAATGGGCTTCCCTTGGCTGTCTTTTATAGGTTTCGCTTGTGTTGGTCTCTTCCCGGATAGAGATTTGGTTATCTGATATAGTGTCCTCAGGTCCCTTTTGCCTGCTGCCTTCTCAGCTTCAGTGGCCAGGTTGTCGTAGAATCGTCTTTTGTCCTTCCTAGCACTCTTCTTCACTTCTTTGTCCAGTGCTGTGTAAGTTGAGCTCATCGTCTCCTTCTCCTGTCCGTCCTTGCATTGAATCATTTTCTCTTTCACCATTCTCCTCTCTTCTATTAATTTCCAAGTGTCCGTTGAGAGCCATTCCTTGTCTTGTCTCTTCTTTCTTCCTAGAACCGTTGAACACGTTTCGTTGAGAATCGCCTTCAGAGACTTCCAATGTTCTTCCACGCATGATTCTTCAGTGCTGTCGCGTAGTGTTTCCTGCTTTGCTCTGACAGTTGCAGTGAAGGTGTCTTTTGTGGTTGTGTCCTTCAGTAATTGAGTGTTGAACTTGCATTGTGGCCTATCCCCAGCTATCCTCGAGGCTTTTAGTTTCACCTTGAAAGTCCCTTGTACTAGATAGTGGTCTGAACCCACATCTGCTCCTCTCCTTGACCTTGTGTCCAGTAGGCTCCGTCTCCACTTTCTTGAAATTGAGATGAAGTCTATTTGGTTCTTGGTGTTTCCATCTGGTGAAATCCATGTCGTCTTGTGTATATCCTTGTGTTTGAACACACTACCACCAATCACCAAATCATTGAAGGCGCAGAAGTCTGAGAAGAGTTCACCATTGTCGTTCATTTCGCCGAGGGCCTCACGACCCATGGTGAGTTCTCTTCCTGTGTTGTCTCCTCCCAGCTTCGCATTCATGTCGCCCATCAGGATTTTGATATCGCCATTTGGGACGTTGTCCATTATTGCTTGTAGTTGTCTGTAGAACGCCTCCTTCTCTTGTTCTGAGACGTTTGTAGGCGCATAGCATTGAATGACTGTAACTTTCCTTCCTTTTGAGTTGAACCTGGCTGTCATTATCCTGGAGGAGATTGGTTCCCACTGCATGAGAGCTTTGGTTGCTGTTGGTGACATCATGATGGCCACTCCCTCGGTGTGCTCATGGTTGTCCTCTGGGTGGCCGGAATAGATTACTGTCTCTCCAGTAGGTAGTTGGCACCTTCCAGTTCCGTTCCATCTGCTTTCGCAGATTCCCAACACTTCTATTCTGTACCTTCTCATTTCAGCGGCTATCTGGGCAGCCTTTCCAGTTTCGTACATTGTACGAACATTCCAGGTACCCATCCTTACTTTTGCTTTCATCGAAAGAAGGCACATCGGCTGACTGGCTTCCCGAAGGCTTTCACCAGCCTGCGTCATTTCACTTCCCCGATTCCAGCGAAAAGTAAGGCTATTGCTTATGTTTTTAGAATTTTTAATATATTTATTCGTTGAAGTTTCTGTAGCGATTTGGTTGTTTTACAAGGGTGGAGTTGCTAGCACCACGCTCCAACCCTCCCTCTTTACCCGGGCTTGGGACCGGCTAGAAAAATAGTAAGCTAGTGGCTAGCTAGTCACTGGGATGGAATCCAATCACCTATAAATTTAACTTTTACCAATTCACAACATATAGCACGGCCTCCAACCATTGTCATCCGCTAGTATTTATCCCCACATCCAAACTGGTGAAACCCCATTGATCATGACTCCTTACTAGAATTTCACTCAACCTCATCCTATTGTCATTGACTGACTAATGACAGTAAAGGAATGGTCAACTAGCTGGACTTGTAACTTGCAGGTCATTAGTTCGACTACTGATGGTGAGATGATAAATGCGTACTTCTGAAGAGTCCTCAGGCAAGGCTTCAACAGCTGTCCAGTACTTTGTCGTTTCCAATGGTTCTCTGATTGGAGAAATAAATCAAATCTTGTCTGCAAAACAACACTTGAAGATTAGGATTTTATTTGTTTTTTAAGTTGTATACATACCTGGAAGGAATTCATGTATTTTTAAAAATCTGAATCTATGCCTAACCCGTTACCACTTCACCTTCATGGAGTCAAGCATACAAAAAGATTCGTTATAATTTTTGATTTAACTAGTCTCTTACTGTGATATAGGCAATATCAATATTTTTGGTGTCTTACTTTGATGTAAGTGCTGTTTTTTTTCCCACATTTTATTTTCTTCAGTCAAAAAGATCCAGATGTAGAAGGACCTATGTGGCCAGAACCACCTGATAAACTACGTCCTGATTGGCACCAACGTCCAAATATTAAAACTGTGTAAGTTCACTATATTCACTTAATATTTTAAAGATTTTTAAAAGAAAGCATTTGAAATCGCTGCTAAATCTTGTTGATAATTTTTTTTGATTATAGCTTGAAACCACAAAATATTTTTGGTACAAGTATGGAATGTTCAGGATATGATATCGGTAGCCGACCATAGTTGGTAGGGGATCGAACCCTGGACCATGTGCATAGTCGGCGAGAGTCCTAACCGCTGTGCTACTGGCGCACTATAGGAAGCCTTCAATGTCATCAGTATCCCATGACACTAAATCAAATAATGAGATATTTAGGCTAATACCGATATTCCGTTGACCAGGAGTTATTCTTATGAGATAGTAAACAGGCCATAAGGAAATACAGCTGCATAATTCGAAATTATGCTTGGTTGTATTCTGTGAATTTAAAACGCGTGGCGTAGACTACAATTTAAGTTGAATAACTGCATTGAATATACAGTCAGATGATTGATCGCCTTCTAATGACTGATTACTCTCCACTTTAAATTACTTTCTTACACCGTATCTTATCAGATAAAATAATTGGACGAAGACACTAAAGGTGTATGTAAAAGAAGATTAGAACGCGCACCGTAAATACGTTGAATTCGAGCGGTATGATCCGCAATGTTGTATCGTTCATAGAACATGAGTTTCGATTGGGTTGAGTTTCAACACAACAGAATAAAAAGATTACAGCAGCCTGACTTTTGAAAATCAAAACCAGTTTTACTTATTCATAACGTTATCCAAATTATGAAGAAATCATTTTAAGCAGGGAAGATATTACTCATTGGTCCAAGGACTTTAAAGTCTTGGTCTAGTAGGGATTTCATTTGATTGGTAGGAGGCTTTCATCATGATCTGGCATCATCATCATCATAAGCTGGTGAAGAGTCCCCAAGTAGGACAAAACAGCTGTCCAGTACTCCTAGGTTTTTTTCAATGGTTCTGTAACTGATGTCAGCACATGATGAAATCCTGCAACCAATCAAACAAAATCCCTGCAAAACCAATATTTGAAAATTAATCTGGTGCTCACTAGCGGCTGGCCCTATTCAGGCAGTTGTCTGAGGTTTTAGTGGGAAGCCGTAACTAGTTGGGTTCAGCCGGTTCAAGGTGAAGCAGTAATTCATCGAAGAAGACATTGAGAAGTGGTTACGCTATATCATGAATTGGCAGAAGCAAGGATTCATGGGCTGGTCATTGGATCGGGTCCCAATGGTCTAGTGGTCTACGAGCTCTCCTTGTAACCAGCATGTCCAGGGTGCGTACTGATGAAGAGTCCCAAACTAGGATGAAACGACTGTCCAGTACTCCCAGGTTTTCCAATGGTGCTCTAACTGATGTCAACTCATGATGAGATCCTCCAACCAATCAAAAACTTTCAGTCAACCAGTGTGTTTCAACTTCACGTTGACAATAGGTGTGAAACATGAAACATCTGTACTAGAAACTGAATTCGAACAAACACCACCCAAATACAAGACTAACTGTGAAGCTGATTCATTTTCATTGAGTTTACTGATCATCTTATTTCTTTTTATTTTCATTTTCAAGCATTGGTTTTGTAGAGATTTGATTGGTTGCATACAGGATTTCATCATGAGCTGACATCAGTTAGAGAACCACTGGAAAACCTGGGAGTACCGGACAGCTGTTTCGTCCTAGTTTGGGACTCTTCACAGTATGCACCCACTGGGTTTTGACCTTCTGGTTACAAGGCGAGGTCGTGTACCATTGAGCCACTGGGACCCGAAGATGAAGCAGTAACTCATCGAAGAAGACATTGCGAAATGGTCGCGCTATGTCGTTATTTTCATATCTTCACTTCCAACGGAAACAAGTGCGTATTCAGGTCTATGGCGTTTAAATTTCAGTAATAATGGTGTTGTTTCAGTTTACGCAGCGGGATTGCGTTCAACACACACTCCCGCTTCCCGGTTTAGTACCGGCTAGTAAACTAGGCGAGATTTAGACAGTCTATCTACCTCTACCAGGAATCAAACCTCTCACCATGTGCATGTGGTAGGTAGGTGAACACCCTCTCATTGAACCACTGACGTTTATCATCTTTATTATAGTTTAAAAATTTGTGGTTTATCTTCTCTCATCTGAAGTGCTCAGTGGTGTTTCCCTCTGTTTTTGAAATTTTAGCTTTCGAAATCTTCTACAACGATTAACTGAGCGTACAACAAGTATAATATCATGATGAAATTGTCATTTTATATTATATATGTTGTGATAAACTATTTCTTCACTTATATATGCATCTTCGGTGATTGCATTTATCTTGTTTCTTTGTTTGGCTGATAACAAGTACACCTTATATCTATTTATTCTTGGCTTAGGTAAATTATTATTATTATTGTTTCCCAGTATATACTCCTCTAGTCATTAGTGATCTTTTACGTATTTTCTTGATTTCATTTTTATAAAAAATGTTGTCTGTCTGTGAGGTTAGTTTGACTTTGTTTTCATTTCCTTATCTACACTTCTGTTTGTGTACTTTCATATATTGTGCATCATATTTGTTTTACTGATTGTTATTACTATTATTATTATTATAGTTTTTAAAAGTCCTATTACTTCACTGTGATATCATCATTAAGGCATTCCGAATATATGCTTTTATCAAACAAACTGTGATGTGTGTCGATTATTGAAATTCCTTTCATCAATATTCTCTTGTTTGTTGTCTTTTTTCTTGAAATCAGAAATTCAATAAAACTTTATTATTATCGTTATTATTTTGTTTTCTTATGAGTCCAGTATATGAAACAATTAGTTCGAGAATCCAGTGTTTTAAGTTACGGTAGTCAGGAGTTAAGACTAATGGTCGGCAATGATATCAGCTGGTAGTGGCTCTAGAAGTGTGAATTCACAGGCCATGGAGTTGGGTACTGGTAACTGAATGGTCTGCGAACTTGTCTTGTAACTGGAAGGTCTTCGATTCGAAACTCTAGTGGGTACGTACTGCCTACGAGTTCCAGACTAGGACAAAACAGCTGTCCAGTATCCCCTGGCTGGTTTTCAATGGTCCTCTTGTTGTGAGAGCTGTCTGCAAGCCGAAATTGTAGACAACAGTTGACGTCAATGTTTTTGTCCGAATGTTCTCATAACCCTCATTCAGGTTGTGAGAAAAACAATAACAAAGCTTAACGTTGAGAAAATCACCAGCTAGTGTCACAGCGGAGTTAAAGTGTGGAAATATGATTCACAGATATATGATTTAATTTTCTGAGAAACAGCCGCGAAGAGATAACAGAATAATCTTCAGCAAGAAAACAGCCAATCAAAAGACGTTGCTTCTCCACTAACAATAACGCTAATATTCATGTACATAAAAATCTCTAAATATCTGTTGATTTTCTCAATAAACGATCTGTTGTCTGACCCTTATCTTCTGTCGTTACACTCTAATTGATACCAATCTGCAGTAAAACTTGAGAGAAATCAAATCCTCACAAACTAACGCAACCAAGAAGGTGGTCTGGAGTTCGATCCTCGTTCAACACACTCCTAGACATCGCCAAGCCTGCAGTAAACCTGGTAAAGAGACAAGGGTGAGCGTGAGGCTGGCAAACCCACCTCATGAAAATAAAACCAGTGCTACCGAAACTTGGAAGTTCAAGACTGGATCCCTACGCTCCACTCTGAGGGGAAACGAATAAAATGAGAAATATAATATTTATAGTTGTATGCCTATAATCCCATGTCTGACTGCTGATTGACTGAGACGCAACATAGAATTTTGCACCGAAATACAACAGTCCAAGGTTTTACACGTGTCTAGGTCCAAGTTGTTGCACTTCTTCGAGTTACTCTTCGTACAAATACTTCAGTTTTGAAGTAAAGCAAGGTGAAAGAATTGGTAGGAAAAGTTGGTAAACTGGTTATAAAATAAGAATCTCGGAGGATTATTATAAGACGAAACAGTATCAGGTATGAGTTTGAAGAATTCAAATTCACACTTATAATAACAGTGAACAGTACAGTTAATGAATGCATTTGTTGTGTACGTGTGAGTCAAAGTATCAAGAAGCCATCTTAGGAAAGCTTTTCCGTAATAAGGATTCTACGCTTGACTAAAGGTCAAACTCAGATTACGCCAAAGAAATATTAAACAGTTGGGATATATATATATATATATATATATATATATACATATATATATGAAGTCCGGATTTTACAAAGAACTCAATAAGTTAAAGATCCTATTGACTACATATCTGCTTACCATCAAAAACAGAGTGCACCGTGGAAAACTTCTGATTGTCCAGCCTCGACTATGAGGTGTCGGCACTGACAGTGCGATGCCTGAAGAGGTTTACTGCCCATGACCACAGCCTTCTGCAATCTATCCCCCATGTATAGGGACATAAGATGATGATATTCAGGTGGGTCAAACTATATCATGCAAGGAGGTCACGTCAGTAGATAGGTTGTGAAGCTATACCGATCGAGATGGCTGACACACGTTACGCCCTTCTCATTGTAAAAACTGTTAGCTGATCTAGAATTAGGTAGGAAAAGGTTTCAGACCAATCATATTAAAACCTCCCTTCAATCCACGAAGTCACCGACTGTCGGTTTTAGCCAACTACAAAGGGAGGTGTAGACTGACTGCATTCGTAGGCCGCATGAAACACTAGTCACCAATCGAGAGACTGGAGAATATCAGTGAGTGATATGGCTCGAAATGATTCTTCATAGGGGAGATGAATTCTCCAGTTGAGGTCTCCCAGATCCGCTAAGTCCACACATTTATCAATGTTGCTATTCTTTATCCCCTATATTTATGCTGATTAAAGTCCTTTCGAATCTCGTTCTCTCTACATTCATGTGCTTTAAGGAGTGTAGCAACTTGAACTACTTCACCTCCTTGTGAAGCGTTAAGCTGGAAATCAGTCATTCAACAATGTAGTCTGATAGATATCGAATCTCGAAGATCCATCTGAAGTTCCACCAATCCTCATGAGTAAACAGCAATCCAACAATCATAGGCTGCTCACTTTTAGATGCAATATAGCTGATGCGATTAAACAATTCTGATATGACGATGGCTACTACTCACCTGATGACATGGGATAACGTTTACTCAAAACAATGTGTTGATGGAGGATTGGAGTCCGGTGCTATTCGACTCCGTTCTAGTGACTAGTTGGTTGATGTGATCTGATTGGAAGACCTTGAAATGCACTTCGAATGCAGTCTTAGTGGTGAGAGACCGTCAAATGTTATTTGGTTTCCAATAGTCCAATGAAAACGAAATTCCTGCAGATTTGATATCCTGCTTGTGATTGACAAGAATTGTACACTTCCTTATGAGAAGATGCGTATTAGCATTGGTGACTTTTGGTCGCTTTTGTGGTTTGTAGGCATGTACGTGTTAGATAAATGGAGAGTATGAATTATAAACATGATTTTAAGTTCACATCATTTTAATACTACTAGAATGTATAAAAGTCTAAATGGAATTTCGAAACAGATTTTCAAATTAATTTGTGAGAATTAAAATCTCTTACCGCTGAACTATCATCATTATGAAAGATATACTTTATTTCTCAGTTAGTTACGTTTGTGCGTTGGTTGTTTAGTGGTACAATGCTCTCCAATCAAGCACGTATTCGTGGGTCTGACCCACGGCCGCCAATAATCCCGATAAAGAAAGTTGGGGGGGGGGTGGATGCTAGAGATACCAGCCCGTAAGAAATGAACACCACCGCTACTGCAAATTGAGAGCTCGAGGTAATAAATTATATGTTACGTTAGACTCAGTAACGCTGTTCATTTCTGAGGTCAACCTAAAGTCTCAATGTAGTTGAAAGTATGAACTCATGTTACATCTGGTGTACAGATGCGAGACGTGCCCTTAAACTTGATTACAGTCAACCGGTAGTATTTTGTAGAATGTATAAACTACGTATGGCGGCTTTTGAAGTCCTATTCAAGGATTCCTACTGGCTAATATATATCGCGTTATTTTATTTGGTGACTGAATTGTATTCAACGACAGTCTTCAGATGGCAGAGTTAGGAGTCGATTAATTCTGTTTTGCTAAAATATTCCTACATTTATAAGTCTTATAGTCAGTACAAATAAATGAGTCCAACTTATTTCTTTAATTAGATAAGTTGTCAAAGCAAATACTTCATAATATTCCAAACTTTATTGTTCACATTAATGCTGGAGTGGGAAAACAACGTTGAAGAGCCAACATTTTGAACAGTCTCTTGATTTTGAGCCATGAACTCATGGGTTCAAAACCTCACCGTTCGAGTAGTATAATAAGGCTTCATGGGAGTAGTGTGGCTAGTAGTGACGTAACGCATGCTATATTTGAAGTTGGATTGTCATTGAGAAGTGGGACAACTTGGCATTCAGAATCTTTCAAAATATTTTGTTCTGAGATTCCCAGTTGTTAATTCAGTGATACACGCTTCATCTGCTGAACTTCATTAAGTTATGGCAGTCCTCCTGACATTCACACTCACACTATGAAATGTTAAATTTTCAAGAGACATTTGCTTAAAACTTTGAATTGATGAAGATAATTTCATCCACCTGGGATGATTATTTTCAAAGTTGATCATCGTACAAAGGTTTGAAGGATTCTTGATGTAATTTCATGCCACTGATTTCCTTGATTTATGTCAAAAAAAGAAAGAACGGAGGAAGCAAAATCTAAACTCCGCCTCAACCTTCTTGTTTAAATGTACTAAGAATAGTTAGGTTTATAACACTGGATAATTCGTCTTCTTACATCATTTTGGAATTATGCTGCTTATACTTTCTTCTCATAACTCAAATTTACTGTGAGAAAAGTATGTTCAGAAATTGTGTAACTGATATTATGTTACTGTTTAGGATGCATGCAGTTGAGAAGGATCCGTGAAATAAAATGAGCATGTAATATCCTGCGAGTACGTTTCGTTTTTTCTTTGTTTTTAACATAATTCCGGATAACCTGAAACATTATAAAACGGAACAAGACATCATCACTTAAGACATTATGTCTACTTGAATGACATTCGGTGGCCATTTCATAAATTTTATTTAACTCTTCAGAAGGTTTCTTCTCAACCTGAATTTATGTCGGGATTCACCCAAATATGCAGGGATTCTGCAGTCAGTCTTTCTTCATGTGAACCAAAATCTTTCTGTAAAACCATAGTCTTAACAAAGTGAAAGGGCACAAACGATGTCTAA